TATTAAAGGCAATATTTTGTTAAGCAGTGATTTTGGTATCTCCCCTGCCACCAAAACTTCTTGCAAAAACATCTGAATGTGTTATTCTTATGGCAGCACTGCACCAAAGACCTAATTAGGAGAATTTGAGGGTTAGATTTTGAGACTCACAGTGTTGGAGGTGCTCAGACCGATTGTGTTTCAGAGCCACTATTGGTATTAATCCCTGAAGTATTTCCAATAGGGATGTTAGCTCAGTGTCCCTAAGCATGCAGATGCTGGGAAATAGGTGTCAGTTTAGTTTGGGGACTCCACGAGGTTCTTGGTAGGTCCTCCTGCCTCTACTGGGGGATACATTAATGGAAGCACTTAAGCAATTGCACTGAAATGGAGCTGTGTAAATCTTCTCTAGTGAAGCCAAGCGACTACCTGTACCCTGGATTTCAGCAGTGCCACAAATCCCTGGTTGTGAGTGAAGACCTGATGGTTTTGGCTTGACACCAGCTGAAACTCCGAAGGCAGATTAATTTTTTTTCTCTGAGCCTTCAGATTCATTTGATCTCAAAGCAAAACATGTGAAGTTGAGGTGAATGTGAACTGCAATGTAAAGAAAAGGAGGTTTATGCCAGCCCAAATACTGCGGGGTTGTGCTTCAGATCCAGGTTCTGTTTTGGACAAAGGTTAATGTGATATCAGCTAAATCCAGGCAGCTGAGCAGAGTCTGACTAAAGCAATTCATTTGACAAGTTGTTTTTGTCTCAAACTTGAACCTGAACCTCAGTCATTATTTTATTGCTGCTGTTAAAGCCATGCTGCCCTTGTTTAGTGGGAGGACTGCTGACACTTGCTGGGACCTGCAAGAGCAGCATCAGGCTGTAGCTGCTCCTGCCCTCTCCCCATCCCATGTGTACTGGATCATCCTTCATGGGGAACTGTTCTGCAGACTTGTTTGGAGTCCTGTTCAGATCAGGCTTAAGCCTTCAGTCCTCCTTCACAGAATCACTGAATCATTAAATTTGGAAAAGACCTCCACGAAAGTCCAACCTGCAACGAAATACCACCGTGCCCTCTAAACCATATTGTGAAGTGCCATGTCTTCTTGTTTTTTGAACACTTCTGGGGATGGTGACTCCACCACTCCACCAGTTCCCTGGGGAAGCTTCATGAAGCTGCCTTGCTGTTGTTGCTGCTTGACAAGTGGCTCTCCCTGTCAGTCTGAGCTTCTCCTCATTGGTGTGCTACCTCTCCCTTGCATGGGTTGAGAAGGAAAACATTGAGAGGAATAATTTTGCTCACCCTCCCTTGCACAGTGCTGGTGGCACTTAGCACAGCGAAGGCAGCTGGAGAAGTGGTGGGTGTGCTGGGGAGGCAAGACACCTGTGCAGAAGAGATACATAAAGGGCTGTAACTTCCTGGCTGACCACTCCTACTATGGAATTGCCCATTTCTGGTTTTAGGTGTTATATTTGCTGTCATTTGGGATGTTTGAAGGAGCTACTCTAAGTCATTATTGACTGAGACTTTGGTCAAACCAGAGTGAGATTAAGCATTGCCTAGCTGCAAACTGAAATCAAACTGAGAAGTTCATAAGCTTAAGATGAAGAACAAGTAGTTTGGGATTTTTATATAAGCTCTCTTACTGACTATCTATGAATTTAGGCAAGGAGGTCTAGCTTCCTCTCTGTTTTAAGGCGGAGAAGGGTGCACCCATATTAGCCCTTTCATTAGAGGTAGGCTTTGGAGGCAAACCTAGTTGTCCCCAGATTTCACTGCATCCCAGTAATGCACTCCATTGCTACAGCCACTCACAAGATCTTTATGGAATCAGACCAGAGTTAGCCTGGAGTAAAACCCATGAAAATAAGGTATTGTGGCTGTAGGATCTTTGGTACCACTGTGCCTCTGTCAGTGTGCAGTGTCTGCTGGTGTAACCCCTGATTCAAAGAAATCCTTAAACAATATATATAAAGCACACTTTTATTATGGCCGGGGAAATTCAGGGGGGTTCCCCCCCCGTGCATGTCCACTGAGAAAAGAAACACAACAGCTTTCTATACAGCGAGTTTCAAAAATTATCTATCATATACACTCTTTATGAAGTCTGCCTTATCTACATAGACATTTGGTTGCCTAACTCCTATTCTTATTATTAGAGAGTAGTTATGTAAAGTTTTATCATTTCAAACAGCTTAGGTTCCCCCCCCTCCTCTTCTGTCTCCCTTGCAATGCTATGTGCTAAAAGTCTTTCCCGCTTTCCCTGACAGTCCCTTTTGTTTAGGTAAGCTAGCTTTGTCTTAATTGCCCACAATTTGGGCAGCAACCTTCTTTCAAGCAGTTACAATTTTGCAAAGTCACACTAACATAGCTAAATTTTTATTTTATTTTGTCTTGCCTTAATTTCACCCCAGCCAGTTACACTGTGGGGGCACGGCTGGGGCAGGTCTCCAAACTGCTGCTCAGCTCCCTCCTCTTGCACAGGTTGCTGCTTGAGTTGATGTGCAGAGCCACTTCAGTGCCGATGCTGCCTTGTACTTAATGACCTGCTTGGTGCCCAGTTCCAGCTGAAATCCGAGAGGCCTGAAGTGAGATTGTCAGAGTAACTCTTCTCCCTCTTCTCTCACTAGTAGGGATTTGTCCCTCAAGTGCTCTCAGACCTGAGGGCCTCCAGTGCCTTTTCAATACCAGTATTCTTTAAGTCCTCTCATAGCCAGGTCTCTGCTGAATTGGAGATAACTTTGAGACAAAAGCATGTTGTTTGTGTCCTGCTAGTGGAGAAATGTTTGCAACGAATTGAGATTCTTGGCTAAAAGCTGCTGCAATTTTGCAAATTCTGTCATAACGTTTTAGTTGTGCATTTTAATCAAGCTCAGCAAATCAGTTCAGTCTCCCTGACCCTGCAAAGTATCCTGCTCTAGGTTTGCCTTTGAATCCATTCTGCTTTTTAATGAACATTTTCATATGAAGCTTTTCTTGCTTTGTAATTTTGGGATTTAGATCAGAAACAGAGACTGAATAATGTGAGACTTTTAATAATTATTCTTTTCTGACAGAAAGCACATATGAGTGCCCGGGATTTTTGTGCTAGTACATACAGATGCATACTTGAACTAGTGACTTGCCTATCTGTGGACCTTCCAGGATACACCTACTGCTTTTCATAATAGGTTTGTTAATGAAGGATTCAGTGGGAACTGAAATAATGCTTTTTTGGGAACAGGAAAGAGTAGGTATATATATTTAGTCTAATAGGGAGGGAGTTGTAAGAACTGTTCCTTATCAGTTTACCCTGGCTAAGGAAAGATTCGTTAATATAAAACACTCCCTGGATAATTTTACACTAAATTATCTGGGATTTTTTGTTCTGCTTCTTGCAGATTTCTAGAGAAGATGTGAGTTGTAGGATTTCACTTGGAAATTTTAATTTTGGGAAGTACTGGAAAACTGCAATGAGGTCCCCCCTGAGTCCTGTGTTCTCCAGGGAGAAGAGACCTGACTTCTTAAGTCCTTTCTCATAGGGCAGATTTTCAAGCCCTTTGATCATTGTGGTGACCCTCTTTTGGACTCTCTCCAGTCTGTCTGCGTTTTCCTTGATCTTCTAGGACCTTGGGATCTAGAACTAGCCACAGTATTGTCCTAGACATCATTAATTTGGAATTGACTTACACGCCTGAGCATAGTGATTTATGTCTTTCTTGAAATATTTATGCAGATGGAGGAGTTCACTTTTGAGCTATTTCCTCTTTTGCTAAGATTATCACAAATCTACTCTACAGTTTTCCAGTTTTCATCAGATTTTCAGTTGGAAGTATGTCTGAAAAGTAATACACAGTTGCAGAAAGCTATGAACTTCAGGGGAAAATAATGTTAGGGGTTTTTTTCAAGTATTAGTTTTTAGAAATGAAAAGTAGCTGTAAAACTTTAAAAAATGCTAAAAAAATTTAAATTTCCATTAGTGACTTCACAGTTTTGAATAAAATCTCTTTCTCAGAGGAGAACAGCTACATCAAGCATTCTAGTAGTCACTAATAATTGATGTTTTTCGGCTTATGCAACCACTGGAAATTGTGCCAGTCTCTTTAGGATTCCCTTTAGGATATATGAAAAATGTATATAATAACATGAAAATATACTCTAATGACATAGTTCTGCAATGCGTGTTTTAAATACATCTATTACATATAAAAAACAGTATGAGTGTCAACCTTTCTGCTGCCATGCAGGCTATAGAAAGATGGGATATTCTGGACCTTTAGTCCTTTTCATCATTCTGTATTTTAGGATATTAATTGCTGGGTTTGCTGTGATATAGAACTTTTACTCAATGTAACCTTCAACCAGCTCACCAGCTCTCAAATTTCTACTCAAGGTGAATAGTAAGTATTTTTGGGAAATGAATGTGTAAGAGGATATGCAGTTTCAGCAAGGAAACTAGGAGGTATAATATTCAGTCTCTCTCTATATATATCTATCATACTGGGATGACTCAAGTTGGACTCGAGTTAGAAGGCAGGCTCTAATACTGCTGGGAATATACACAAGGACATTCAGTAACTGGAGAGGGATGCCAAATTTTTCCATCCATAAGTTATGTAACTATGGGGTTTTAGGAAACCTGCTCTTCATGAATAAGGTTTGGTACTGAATTTTGATATACTTTAGATTTAGTTTTCAAAGGAGCTTCACTGATTTCTGTATGTGTCGGAGACCAGTTTTTTATCCATTAAAATGTGTTGTACAGGATGGAGTTTCTTTTGCTGAATCTGGGTTTTATTTCTGTGCCCCCCCTGACTGGAAACTTAGATTTTTTACTATCTATTTCTAAGATTTTCTGAAATAAAAGCAGCTTTTCTAACCTTTCTGTAAGTAAAAAAGAGTCACCCCTGGTTCATCTGCTGGCTGGGAAGGTTGGCTTTTGGAGCATCTGAGAGTGGCAGGATCTCAGATGCGACGGGTGGTCGTTAACGAAGGCGTGCCGAGGCTCTAATTAATATCACACTTTCTCTTTTGGTTGCCTTCTCTAGGAAGCTGCTGGAAGAATGCTGTGACCCCGGGCAGCTCTTTGCCATGACAAAGCTGAACTCCCCGATGGGAAAGAACCTCTGGTTCGACGGGGAATTTTTATATTCTGTCACAATCGACAATGCAACTTACTCTCTCTTCCCACAGGTTAGTAACTGTTTTTATTGCCACTTTAAGTATTAATATACTAAATGGTAGCATGGTACAAAGGAGCATGAATAGGCTAAAGGCTTGTCAAGAAATTGAGTCTTCATTTCTTGGTACAAAACAATTTTTATTTTTTTTTTCTACTTCCATGTTCTGAAAATTTTGTTGGTATGCATGTTAATATTTCCTTGGGTGCTTTTTGGGTGTGCAGATGTACACAAGGGCTGGTGAAATTGGGTCACCCATCTTGATTCTTAAAATGCTGAAATTCTGTCTATTTTAAGTAGGTGATTTCTGCATTTCAGTCAGGGATCACACTCACTGTGAGCCTGATCTCTCACCTAGGATCGCTTCAGTTGAGATCTGTACAGATCACATGCGACAGTACTTTGTGTGAAGGTGTTACAAGTTAATGAAGTTTGTTGGTGACAATCAATGTGAGCCCAACAACAGAAGCCAACAAAACTTGACTTTGTTGATTCTTGCTGGTTTTGAATGTTAGAAGTGATTATTGTTGTTCAGCAAAGGTGTTTTGGGTTAAGTACAGGGTTTTTGAGTGATGGCAGTTTGTGGTACTGATCTAAGCTGCTTCTTGTTTATTTAATTAATAAATGAACTGATGTTAAATAATGAGGTTGTTGTTATATTGAATTTTGTATGTGGAAGGAGAGATGTTTTATGTGGCTACACACTTAAAGAAAGCCAAACGTCTGGATGTATTAATTGATTTACATGTTGCTTTAATTTCTCAAACTGAAGACATACAAATTTGTTAAGCCTCCCAGTAGATGTTGAATCATTCACAATGGGCTTTTTGTTTGTTGCTATTTCAGTTAAACATTTAGCAGAGTTCTTACTTGTTAACCTCATCCTGCCGATAAAGCATGAAAAAGTTAGTTTGGTTTGGTTTTTTTTAAAGTAGTTTCCAAGATCTCAAAAACAGTTATGACTTTCAATGAGTTTCTTTTAATGGAGAAGTGTGAGGGGAAACTGTTGTGCAGGGCAGAGGAGATAGGAACAGCCACTTCCTATGTTGAGACATCATCCTGAGGAGCGGTTTTACAGCTGTGTCTTGTTCAGGCTGCCAGTCTCCTGTCTTGTCACTTGTGCCTGTTGCCATGATCCAGACAATGGACCTTGGCTTCCCTCAGGCTGCTCCCAGCTGCTGTGTCCCTGCAAGCTCAGCAAACAAGTAGATGCTGAAACCTGCATGACAAGTGGGTTTTTTTCCTGCAGTACAGCTGGAAATGGGCTGCCTGCCTTGAGTGAATTTCTGGAGACTGGCAAAAAGTTTATGATGTGTTGCAGAGTAGTGGCTCTAAGTCTTTTTCTGTGATTATGGGTGTGATTTGTTGCTACAATATTGCATCATTTATTGGAGAGAACAGAAACCCTTGGCAGAGCTGTGAACTTCGTACCACACAAAGATACTGGCAACAGCTGCTCAAAATGTGTAAGTCCTTTCCAGGGTTTCACAAAAACCCCACCTGGGCTGGCACAGGGAGGTCACTGTTCTGTGATGAATTTGGGATTTTAGATTTGATTTTCTTTGTATGAAAACCTAGCATTCTGCTTGGCTGCAGAGGTGTCCTACCTCCTCTCATAGAAAAGAGCAGAGTGCTGGATGGACTCCTTCGGAGAGGTCATTGCTGGTTAGAGAGAAATCATGATCTCAGGAACTCCAGTGGTTCCTGGGCTCCTAAGCCCCATCTTCAAAGTTTATCAGTTGGCTGGATCAAGAGTAAGGATCTGGGAAGTCCTGGAAAGATAAACTCCTGAGGGACAAGGTGAGCTGTGGAATTGGGACTTCAGTGTCCCTTAGGCTTGCCAAGCGGTCCGTGAAGAGGATGGGTAGATGCTGGTGGTGGTGGTGGAAAAGGTGAATTTTTCTGATGTTCCAACTGTGAAACAATGCTAGAAAGCAGCTCTGGGAGTGGTGCCAGAAATGCTGCCCCTTTAATGAATCGATGGGCAGTTCGTTTCTGACAAATGCTACTCACTACTACTCCTTCTTTCCTTGCAAGTACCGCTGCCTCTAATTTGATGTGTTATTCCTATGTATTTTGCCCAGAGGAATTTCGTAGGCCTTTATCAGATGAAATCCCAGTAGGCTTAAAAGCTTAGGAAGATTTATTTGCGGTAAATTTTTAAGTGAAGTATTTCTCTACTTCTCTCTTTGTTTCAAGAAAAATACTCACCTAAATTTTTCAGGCTCCCTCTTTGAAGAATGGTGTCTATTAGCTTGCTAGCGACTGGCAGGCGAGTTTTGTGAAGATGAATATTCCTTTCAAAAGTATCCAGAAGCTTAAAACCTCTCATAAAATACGGTTAATACTCTGAAATGCCCAGGGGATGTAACAGGAATGTGAAGGGCCGCAGCTATGTTGATATAACCAAAAAAATATTTCCTCTGGAATAAATAAAACTGACTCCATCCACATCAATCTGCTAGGCTTAAGCAGTTTTGTGCTTGCAGAAGATTTCTCAGTCCTGAACCAGTTACTAACTTATACAATAATGTAACTCAAAACTGAATAGGAAACTTGCCATATTTCATGGCATAGAGTGAGCTGGCTAATGCATCAGTGGAGCCTTTTACAGGAATAAATAAGTATGTCAGGACTTAATATGTAAAATGTCTCTTACTCTTGAATGGCAACAATACAAAATAGAATACTTTTTCTTCTGAGCAATCTATATTTAAAGTTCTTACAGCTGGGCCAACGTTTTCTGATAGAGTGCTTTTCCAGTAAAAATGCTGTTTCATGAAAATATAAATTTAATATCAGTTCATTGGTTTTTCAGTTTTTCTTTGAAGTGAAAAGGTTAAAAGGTTTTGGTGGTATTATATTATTTCATTGTACCATTTTTAATGTAATATTTCAACTGTTAGATTCTTTTTTTTAATCAAGTCCTTTGCTAGCCTTTTATTCCTCAGACCTTGCATTATTATATTATTCCCCTTTTTATTTTTTCAAGTTTTTGAGAGGCCAAGGGAGAAAATTGCAAAAGAAAAAAGCTTTTATGTGGAAATAGTCATTCAGTGTTTCATTTCAGTTCATGAGAACAAAATTTGAAGTTGCAGAGTTTTGTGTGAACCCATAATTCCAGTTGCTGGAAGTAGCTCCTCTTAGTCTACCCCTCTCTGTGTCATTTCCCCCCAATATCAAGAATTAAATTTTTTTTGAAGCAGAAATGAAATGTTACACAGACTGCACCATCTTTTCCATCCTGGAGAGAAACTGCTAATGGCTCATTGTCAATACCTAAAGGTCAGGAGAAGGTGCAGCTCAGGATGTGGCTCATCAGAGAAGAGAGACTAGCATGCAGTGAGGGTGTCCACCTACAGCCCATCTCCCAGGATAGGCTAAGCTGAGTTGCCTGGAGCTGTTGGATAATGGAGTGTCACTTCAATTAAAATCAGATATTTCTTGACAGCAGCTTTGTTATGTTACTTGCTGTGATCTACAGCATTATTTCCCACTCTTAGGAGACAAGAAGCATAGAGTCTGCATATCACTGTAGGCGTAGTTTAATCTTAACAGTGAGAGGTTATTCCTACGACCTACCTTCCACTCCTCTAAACTTTTTAATTCAGACTTAGAATTTCAATATCAGCCAGTAATTTTGGTATGTGTCTGGAGGCACTGAGAGTTCAGAGGTGTAGGTGACCCTACTACAGTCTTGGCTGGATAAATGTCTGAGTAGCCAGGCTGCCACGTCTCATGTTGGCCACTAAAGGTCATGGGAACTCGTTGATTTATTTCCTCTCCATTGTGGACCAACTATTATACAGAACAGAGAACTGTGTGTTGGGGAGTGTCCCTGATGGGACAGAGACATACACCCTCCTTGCTCTCCAGTCTGGAAGTTTAGCCATGCAGCTCTGGTCCTGTTGTGTTGCATCGAGGCACAACAGAAGGCATGACTAGCATTTTCCACCCTTTGCCATCTGACTAGAATGGAAGAAACCAGGCTTCCATATATTCCTCCAGTAATTTTTAGATACTATGAGTAAGTATGATGTAACCACAGGAGTAGCTGGGATGTAACTCAAAACCATGTGAGAGAAACGTGAGCTAACACTCATCTGCTTTTGAGTTACAGAATAGAACAAGCCCCAGTTTCAAATGGTTTTTTGGGGATATTTTTTCACTCTTTCCTGTCTTTTTCTTTCTCAGAGTTTCAAAAGCAAATTTCAGACTATCTTTAGCATTAGAGGGGAAAAAACCCTCACCCTAGTATTTAGTTGTTAATGCAAATAATTGATTTTTGTTACTTGTTGGCTAAAGCCTATAGAAAGGAAAACCTGAGGTGAATTTTTGAGGTCTCCTTTCCCCATCCCCCAAAGGGTTAAAAAATAGTTAAATCAAATGTAACTTTTCACTCTGCCATGCAGAGTATTGGTTTGGAGGGTAGAGAAGTTGAATACATTTCAAAAGATATTTCAAATGTTATACTTCAGCTTTTAATTTGGCAAATTGAAAAATATTCAGTTGCATTGAAGCAGTTAGACTTGTTTGGTACCAATAAATTATGTCAAATTAATAAAGTGTGGTTCCACAGCTGATCAAATCCCTTCTAAAGTTTCACCTGCAGTATGCTGTCAGCTAGAAGAGGGGCTACTTGCATTGAGCTTCTCATGAATAATCATCAGAAATGGTGTTGGAGAAATCCAAAGGAAAAAACTGCAGGCCACAAACAAATCTGGGAAAGGTGACATCAGTTTCTGGATACCTTGTGATCAAGGGAAAGGTGATATTTTTCAAATTGCATATATAATATAGATATTTATTTGAAGTTCAAATTCTTATTCTTAATATAAAGGCAGGTGAAAAGTTAGTTGCTCTGATTGCAGCTTTAAGATGGAGACATTCTCTGACGTTTTCTGTGTTTCCTGAATGGTGTTTTGGGTAACAGTGAATTATTTTATGATCGTGCTGTGAGATTTGTGATTTTCATTCAGAGTGCCTGGTAGATTCTGGGAACTTGTTTAGTTT